GAGGCTTATTACCTCCAGGTACTTAGGTTGTATTTGTATTTGTTATTTAATATATATACATATTCATTTGATATATTTGTGATAGTCTCTTTGAGTTGGTACTTCCCACCCAAGAACCAAATTTCGGTCTTCAAGACCTTTTCACGTTTCAACCTCTAAAGCTAAGTGATGTGTGTAAGGTTTACTAGTCAGGAGTAGATGTGATGGGAGTTCAGGTGATGCAGCTGAACCATTCACTCTTAGGTAATGTTGGTGTACTGTAGAATAGGAATTTCTTCTGACAACTGAGGCATGTTCATTTATTGTGAGGTAGCTACTGAGCTGTGCGCAGTTTACCAAGTATTCCTTGTCATTTTATTTTACTTTACTTTTCTAATTTTATCCCTTTCTCCCCCCCCCATGTTTCTTTCTTCTTTCTCTCTGTCATCTTCACCCATTCTTATTTTATTTTCTTATGTGATCCCAGTCCTTCCAGCTGCACTATGGCCCCGGGGTTGACTCAGCCTATAACAGAAATGAGTACCAGGAGTTAATTAATATTTCTGGGGAGTAAAGTGCAGCTGGTGCATAAGGCTGACAACCTTACTGCCATCTTTGAGCTGATTGTTTGGATAATATGGGACCCTCAATGTCTCACAACCCTGTGGGCGTGGTACAGGGCTAGCTTTACTTTACTTACTTATGTGATCACTACAAATTTATTATGTATTGTCACGTGTTAATGACTAAAGATGGCGTTTGAATTGGTAATTGGATTTATTAATCATCTACAGGTCATAACTACAAATAATTATTACACTGTTGCTGATTTACACAATTTACAATCACTGCATGCTAATCTTCTCAGTCTATTTCCCCTGGTCTTCACTATCTGCTTCTTGGCAACAGATTTATAACACAGGAACTATAAAAGTCTCACAAAATCACACACTCCCAATGTCACTGTACTGCTGCACACACATATATTCTCCAGAGGCTGACTTCCTGTACTCTTCTGTACTCCTCAGGCTTNAAAAAATGAATTCGCTTTGTTGGGGGGGGGTGGAGTCCAACTGGGCCCACTCGGCTTGGCAGCCACTGATTGGCCTATTGTAGCTGGCCCCAGGAGATTATGATGATGGAGAATTTGGTGGAATGAAGATTGGCAGGGGAAACTGAAGTACTTTGAGAAAACCTGTCCCAGCGCCACTTTGTCCACCACAAATTCCACTTGACCAGACCCCGGGATCGAACCTGGGCCGCCGTGGTGGGAAGTCAACGACTAACCACTTGAGCTATGGCATGGCCTACTCCTCAAGCTTATTACTTGCTTACTGTACTCCTCCAACTTACCGCAATACTCCGTCTTCTCAGTCACTCACTCACTGCCTGCTTCTTTGAAATCTGCTCACTTATGAAGATGCAGCACAGATGCCTCACAAAACACACGTCACATGACACTATTCGCTGTTGTGTGATGTCACAGTGCATGCACCAGTTGCGCGGACAAAAAGAAAACTTGTCATGCGACCACTACCTATTGTTATGTGCATGTGGCCTAGATTATTATGTCTTTCTACTGTTGCATGTTGGAACATGTTTATGGAGCTGTGGCATGGAAATGGGTGTTCAAGTTACAGTATTCATTTTTTGCTACTGTTCATTCTCTTACCTTCCTTTCCTTCTTCCTACATTGGTATATCTGTCACATATTCTTGTTGTCATGTCATATTGGTCTCCACACAGCTTCATTCCTGCTCCTGCTCCCTTATAATAGGACCACTTTTTTCATGTTCTGCTTACTCATCTACTTGAAGATGCATGCAGCACATTTCTCAGAAATGTTAGTAATGATCTTCCAGACTACATGGCCTCACATCACATTTTTAATTTTTTAGTATATACAGTTTAAAGTAAATTAAGCACAATAGATCATTGAAGGTTGCAGTGCAAGGGCTAGATTATTATGGCGCACCCCTTATGCATTCAGTCATACTTTAAAATATACATCTAAAGAAAAAATAAGCAAACTGTGTTTCTCAAAATGCGAAGGCCAAACAGCCAAGCCTTATATGGACTGAAGCCAAATGTGAGGTAACAAAGAGAAAAAGATTCAGTGGAAGAAGTGGGGTCTGGTGGATGGAGTGATAGGGTGATACAGAATATCTGGGCACCTTGTGTAAAACATGCAGGAAATCTACAAGAGATTTTTTAGTGTTCCAACAATGCAACTAGTGTGGGACTAACGAGACTTTTTTTCTCACTGAAACTACTACTACTAGAACTAAACTCTCAGACTACACCCACCGGTTTGTCCCAGCATCTGGTGTCTTGAGCACATTGTCGCACTTGTATCACTGTTTACACTAACACGCACTTGCACTACACTAGTTCAAACGGCCTGAGTCTCTTGAGCCTTCTCATTGCCCTCTCATCAAGAAGTTGTATCGCTTCCATGTTGGTGTGGTGGTGAAGCTGATCTTGGTGCTTCTTAGCTATCGTTTTAATTTCGGCAGTGACCATCCTAATGCCAAGATCTATGTGGATGTCACTATTACGGGTGTACCAAGGGGCATTTACTATTCTCCTCAGCACTTTGTTCTGAAATCTCTGTATTGTTTGAATCCTACTCTTAGTGGCACAACCCCACAGCTGTGTTCCATAAGTCCAGACTGATTTTATATTAGTATTTTGTTTTGTGTTCTCTGTATCAGTTTCATAAAAGCAGATTTGCTGATGACTGTCTTGACATGGCTTTAGTATTTTAAGGCAGCTGCAGCATTACATGCATTTTGAGTTTCTGTATTCAAAGAACCAGCCATCAGAGAATGGTATACAGGAACTTTGCCTATTTTTCTGTATTCCTTGGTTGATGTTAATTCTGCCAGTTTGTTACTGAAGTGTTGATGGCTATCACATTATACACTGCTTGATATATTTGACAGTATGGTAACCTGTTACTTATATCTTTTACTTGCATGATATTATGACCTGGTTAGACATTACTCGCAGAAAAATGGTATAACATTGTAGACTTACTGTAGCTTATTGAGTTGTTAGGCATTAAATTAAACTCTGAATACAAATTTGAAATTCATTCCGTTGATTACTTTTTGAGTCCTATATAGGATTCTCCTATCTCTCATTGCCTTTGCATTATTGCATATCAAAGAACTGTAATCATATCACATCTTCTGGATCACCTTTTATGCTTGTCCAACATGCCATGATCTGGCCTTCTGGAAACTGTGACCAGTCTGATGTTATTTCTTGGCTCAGCATAGAAGCAAATAATATATTATTAAATTTGGGAATTTATTGGCAGTAATGACACATTTTTGTGTGCCACTTCCAGAGGTCTAGTAGTGAAATTATTGTTATTTGGAATTCAGCTTTTGTTCTCAGTAATTATTTGCTGTTTAACCATACACAACAAGTGGTAATTGCTCACTTGTGTTGGCTGACTTTTGTTGTATGTATGATTGTCCTACTTCATTTGTGGGTTATTTTTTATCTTGGCAAGTATTTAATATCCTGTGTGGATATTACTGTGACATTGTTTGGACCAGGATAAAAAGTTGATTCAAGAAACTGTGAATGTGGTAATCAACCTATTGTGATGGTTAATGCTAGCTGATGCACATGATTTTGACCTACATTTGGATTATTTTATTTGCCTGTAAAAATTGTTACTCAATATACGTAGGTCGTACCGAAAGTCATGAGCATCTTTTTTTTGCATGCAACCTGGGAACAGCAGACGAAAGAGAGTACGGTGGTAGGTGGAACCAGCTGTTGTGTTAACCTTGAGTGTCTTGTGACATCAATAGTCCAGTGACCAGTATCACTCCTAACAAAATGGCCGACAACGATATGTCGTTTTGCCAGCGTGAAAGAGGAAATCCCTGCTACAGAAATTCACCAGATACTTCAGTGTGCTTATGGAAGTGTGTGCATGGGTGCGAGCAGTGTTTGAAGATGGGTGAAACATTTTAAAGATGGGAACACCAGCATCGAAGATGAGCCTCGGAGTGGTCATCCTCGAACAGCCTCAACTGAACGCAACAAGGAAAGAGTGGATGAGATGATTCAAGATGACAGGCATGTGACTGTGGACACAATAGCCCGAAAACTTGGAATAGGGCACAGTGCAATACAGGAGATGATTGAAA